TGTTCCATATAGATTTCTTCGTCTATATCGCCATTTAGAAAAGCGGTTTTTACGTCCATTTGATGAACTTCCAAATTCCGCAAAGCGGCAATCGCTAGTATCATCCTAATGGAATTTATTCTCGTCACGGGAGAATACGTGTCAAAGTAATCATGGCCCTCGCGTTGCTTGTATCCCTTGATTACAAGTCTGGCCTTATACTTATCAATGGAACCGTCTGGTTTCATTTTACGTTTAAAAATCCACTTGGATCCCAAAGGTTTACATCCCGGAGGGAGATCAACCAATTCCCATGTGTGATTTTTTAGGATAGAGTCCACCTCACTTTTGATGGCTTCTTTCCACATAGGACCTTCAGTAGACGTCACGGCTTCCGTATAAGTCCGTGGCTCATTTTCTACCAAACATGTTAGAAAATCCGGTTCATTTGCTACCATACATGTTAGAATATCCGATTCAAATTCTACCAGGTAGGTGAGAAAATCCGGTCCGAAGGATTTTTCGACTCTAGCACGTTTGCTACGTCTGGGTTCGGGTTCTTCTCCGGATCCCTCGCTAGTATTTTCCATAACTACGTCAAATGTTCGTTTTGACGTGCTAGGCCCTTCGTTGGACTTGCATGGAAATACATCTTCAAAGAATGAAGCATTCCTTGATTCAATTATTATGTTTTTATGTACATCCGGATTATTCGAATCGTACACTAAAAACCGATAAGCACTACTATTTTGTGCATATCCAATAAAAATACAATCCACCGTTTTTGGACCTATTTTTATTTTCTTAGGTGTTGGTACAAGCACCTTAGCAAGACACCCCCACACTTTTAAATATTGATAGGAAGGCCGTCTGCCTTTCCACAACTCGTACGGAGTTTTATCATATTTCTTCCGGGGAACCTTATTTAAAAGGTAATTGCTTGTCAAGATTGCTTCGCCCCACATATTTTGTGGCAAGCCCGAACTTACTAGCATCGCGTTCATCATATCTTTCAATGTGCGATTCTTTCGTTCGGCAACACCGTTTGATTGAGGTGAATAGGGTGCGGTACGTTCGTGTACTATACCCACACTAGCACAAAAGTCACCAATTGGTGCTTCATACTCACCACCTCGATCACTCCTAACCGTCTTAATCCGTCGATTAAGTTGGTTTTCCACTTCATTCTTATAAAGAATGAATTTATCGATTGCTTCGTGTTTATTTTTTAATAAATAAACGTAGCAATAGCGAGTGCTATCATCGATAAAGGTAATAAAATATTTATTACCGCCACGTGTTTGTATTGATTTAAAATCACAAACGTCACTATGAATTAATTCAAGTGGTTCCGTTTTTCTTTCAACTGATTTGAAAGACGTTTTCGCTAGTTTTGCCTCTACACAGACTCCACATTTGTGCTTCACATCAATTGTGAATTTAGGAATGTGCTCCATGTTAATTAATCTACGTATAGAATTAAAATTAACATGTCCTAGTCTACCATGTCACACATTGGAAGACTCAAGCAAGTAAGTAGAAGGGATTTTATTATTATTAATAATAATAGTCGTTACATTGAGCTTAAACAGCCCGTCACATGCATACCCCTTGCCCACATACATTCCCGACTTAGACAAAACTAATTTGTCCGACTCAAAAACCATGCGAAAGCCATGTTTGTTCAACAACGAACCGGAAATCAGGTTTTTGCGTATTTCCGGAACGAACAAAACTTGGTTTAGAGTCAGCTCCTTGCCCGAAGTCATCTTCAGGACCACTTTGCCCACGCCTTCAACCGCGGAATGAGCCGAGTTACCCATCCACACTTTCTCACCATTTGATGGCTCAAAAGTTGTGAATAACTCCCGGTTTGAGCAAATATGCCGGGTTGCACCGGTGTCCACGAACCACTCCTTGGAATTGGATCCAACGAGGTTGACTTCCGTAACCACAGCCGCTAGGATGATGTCTTCATCCTTTTGCCCACCTTGCACCAAGTTGAATTGAGAGTCCCTCTTCTTCTTGGGTGCCTTGCAATCCGCGGACTTGTGTCCGTTTTTATTGCAATTGAAGCATTTTCCATTAAACTTTGTTTTGGAAACGCCTCCCTTGGGACCGAGCTTGCTCCTCCCATTATTTTTAGTTTTGGAGCCCTTTGCATGCTCCACCACATTTGCCTTGGAGCCATGAACAATTGGGAGTTTCCCATCGTTCTTCCGGTTATCCTCTTCAATCCGCAGACGGAGGATCAATTGCTCCAAGTTCATTTCCTTTCACTTGTGCTTAAGGTAGTTCTTGAAATCCTTCCAAGCCGGCGGCAATAAATGAATAATTGACGCCACTTGGAATGACTCACTAACCGTCATTCCTTCATCTCGAATTTCGTTGAAGATCATTTGCATCTCCTCAACTTGACTCAAGACCGTCTTCGAATCCACCATTTTAAAATCAAGGAATCGACCAACAACAAATTTCTTTGCGCCGGCATCCTCGCTTTTATATTTGTGGTCCAAAGCATTCCATAGCTCCTTAGCCGTAGCTAATTTGCTATAAACGTCGTACAAAGCATCATGCAGCCCGTTCAACACGTAGTTTCGGCAAAGGAAGTCAGAATGCTTCCAAGCTTCAACCGCGTTGAAAGATTGCGCATCCACCTCACCCCCGGTTGCTACCGGCGCATCTTCGGTCAAGAATCTAGCAAGACCGAGAGTAGTGAGGTAAAATAGCATCTTTTGCTGCCACCTCTTGAAGTTTAACCCGTTGAATTTCTCGGGTTTCTCCACAGAGTTGCTTGGCACGGTCACCATAGGGATAGCCCTTTGGTTGGCCAAAGTAGATGCACCGCGTTGTGAACCATTGTTCACCGGTGCTCCACTTTCAGAGTGATTGTCGTTCAGAACATTCTGCCCAACACCAATCTCGTTTTCTTGAGAAGTCATTTTCGTTCTTTAACGTTTTCCGAAGACACAAAAAAATAAGTTCGTTCACCAAAGTGACAAACTACGTTTTAAGATTGTATCCGTATGATACAAGCTCAACAAATACGTTTTAAGATTGTTTACCGGAGTAGAACAATCCACAAATACGTTTTAAGATGGTTGGGTGTGTTTCGGAAAATAAAGAAAATTAATTAAAGTAAATTAATTAAATAAAATGACTAGAGAAAAACAAGAAAGAAGATGAAGCAGAATTAGCCAAAGCTCGTGCTACGCACGATTTCCTTAAAACGTATTTGTTGCCTCCCACGGTGCTAGGAGCGTTGCAACAATCGTTTCCCAGGATACGATGACTACGAACTAATGTTTGAGCACACAAACAAGAGTTCCAGCGAACGAGAACCAAGTATGAACACAGAAGGAATTTTGGGAGTAGCTGGAAGAGTTTTTTGCTCAAGAAAACGTGAGGAAAGTGTTGTGCATTGTCAAACCGTGTGTTTGTTGCAAAGCACCTGCCAACTATTTATAGGAGGATTTGTTGTGTGTTAAATGGGGTGTTAATGGACCTGAACGTTGGACATCAATGACCAGTCCGTTGGGCATTGAATCGTCCATAAACTGTCCATTTAACGCAGCATTAAAAGAGAAGAACGTTGGGCATTAATTGTTGTAACGGAAGAAGTGCGCGACAGAAGACCCCAACAGAACACCCCTTGGAGGGTTTCTGTCCGAAGCCAACAGAACCCCCTTGGAGGGTTTCTGTCCGAAGCCAACAGAACCCCCTTGGAGGGTTTTTGTCCGAAGCCAACAGAACCCCCTTGGAGGGTTTCTGTCCGAATAAACATTATTTGGTTAGTCAGTTTATGAACTAGTAAGTTCATTAACTGTCTTTCTTTATGAACTGGGGTATGCCCCTTTTATTGTGTAATTTTTGTCACTTTTGTTAAACACTTAACACTCAAACTCCTACTTTGTCAATTGGGGTATATCTATATCATATATGCCCCTTATGGCTGTATGTAGTTACTTACTTATGCAAGTTGTATATTGTGTTATTTTTCTTGATTGTGTTATGCATTTTCAACTCGTTTTGTTAGAAGAACTAAATTGTTGGGAAATTAGTTCAAAAGTTTGGATATCCGAAATACCCGAAACCCGACCCATACCCGAGGGAATCCGAAACTTAAAATATCCGAAATATTTTTACCATTTTCTTTAAGGGTTGGGTTAAAGAATATAACCCCGATACCCGAACGGGTTTACCATTTCGCAACCCGACCCGCCCGAACCCGACCCGTGCTCTCCCCTAACTGCATGTTTTTTTGATAAATCGTATGCCATCTTCGGTTTTGAATGGTAAAGCTCCTTATCATTGTCTATTTCCAAACAAAGAACTTTTTCCTATCCCACCTAAAATATTTGGTTGCACTTGTTTTGTTAGAGATGTTAATCCTCATCTTACAAAGCTAGATCCCAAATCATTAAAGTGTATTTTCTTGGGTTATTCTCGAGTCCAAAAGGGGTATAGATGTTTTTGTCCGAGTACAGGTCGGTATCTTGTTTCCATTGATGCATCATTTCATGAAAATACACCTTTTTCATCATCTAAGGCAGATATTCATGAGAATAATGATGATATACTCATTTACACGATGACTATTCCCGAGTCCACACTTTCGACAAGTATTCCACAAGTTACTGTTCCTGACCTTAGGCCTCCTGTACACTTGGTATACACCCGTCGACACAAAGCACCTGATCACCCTCCACCGGCGACACCTGTGATTATTTATCCTGATACTAGTCCAACTTCGATATCATATCCTGAACCAGTACCTGCATCATCAGATCTTATCTCTACATCAGATCTTGACCTCCCAATAGCACTACGTAAAGGTACACGATCTTGTACTCATCCTATTTCTTCATTTGTGTCGTATAGTCAGTTATGCACTGCCTCATGTTCTTTTATTGGTTCCATTGATTCTATTTCTATTCCCAAATCTGTTAAAGAGGCTTTGTCTCATCCTGAATGGCGTCATGCCATGATAGAGGAAAGGAATGCTTTGGATCTTAATGGTACTTAGGATTTGGTAGACTTGCCTACAGGGAAAAAGTCTATTGGATGTAAGTGGGTCTTTGCTGTTAAGGTTAACCCAGACAGATCTGTTGCTCGGTTGAAAGCCCGATTAGTTGCGAAGGGTTATGCTCAAACGTATGGTGTTGATTATTCTCACACTTTTTCTCCAGTTGCTAAATTAACATCTGTCAGGTTACTTATTTCTCTCGCTGCAACTCATGGTTGGTACTTACATCAGTTGGACATTAAAAATGCATTCCTGCACGGTGATCTTCAGGAGGAAGTTTATATTGAGCAACCTCTGGGGTTTGTTGCTCAGGGGGAGTATGCAAAAGTTTGTCGACTTCGCAAGTCTCTTTATGGTTTGAAAAAGAGTCCCCGTGCATGGTTCGGGAAATTCAGTCAATCAATTGAACAGTTTGGAATGATCAAAGGAAAATCGGATCACTCTGTATTTTACAGACAAACGAAAGCAGGTATCACATTGCTTGTGGTGTATGTTGATGATATTGTGATTACAGGGAGTGATAATGCACGTATTTTGGCCCTTTAGAATTTTCTTCATAGTCAATTCCAGACGAAAGATTTGGGCTCATTGAAATACTTCTTGGGGATTGAGGTTACACGGAGTAAGAAAGGTATATTTCTATCTCAACGTAAATATGTGCTTGACTTGCTAACTGAAACAGGGAAATTAGGGGCAAAACCGAGCAATACTCCCATGATTCCCAATGTGCAGCTCACTCATGAAGGCGTGCCATTTGAAGATCCGGAAAGATATAGAAAGTTGGTTGGAAAGCTTAATTATCTCGCAGTTACCCGTCCAGATATTGCGTACTCAGTGAGTGTAGTAAGTCAATATATGTCATCTCTGACAGTTGATCATTGGAATGCTATAGAGCATATATTATGTTACTTGAAGGGGACACCAGGACGAGGTATTGTTTATCAAAATCATAATCACATGAGAATAGAATGCTTTGCAGATGCTGATTGGGCTGGATCTAAAGATGATAGAAGATCCACATCTGGCTATTGCGTCTTTGTTGGTGGTAATCTCGTCTCTTGGAAAAGTAAGAAGCCGAATGTGGTTTCTCGTTCGAGTGCTGAATCAGAATATCGGGCTATGGCACAATCGGCATGTGAGATAATCTGGACAAACCATTTATTGAGTGAAATCGGATTGAAGACACCAATGCCTGCTAAACTCTGGTGTGATAACCAAGCTGCTATACACATTGCCAACAACCCAGTGTTTCATGAGAGAACAAAACATATTGAGGTCGATTGTCACTTTGTTCGAGAAAAAATACAACAAGGATTGATCTCTACAGGATATGTGAAAACTGGAGAGCAGCTTGGAGATTTGTTCACTAAAGCACTAAATGGAATTCGTGTTGGTTATTTATGTAACAAGCTGGGCATGATAAATATCTATGCTCCAACTTGAGGGGCAGTGTTAAAGACATTAGAATAGAATATACTTTATAATATGCTTTAGAATATTCTTCTATTTTTAGAATATGCTTTAGAATAGTTTAGGAATATACTCTAAGATATTATTATTGTATAGAATCTTATAAGACTATTCTATCTTTGTAATGTATATATATAGGGACTTAACCCTACAATGAAATACACAAAAAAATCCTTCTCTCCATTCTTAATATCATTGTAGGTTATATTTCAACAGGGCATTTTCTTGCTGCCTCACTCATAAACGAGTTTAGACCCCGCCTTTAATTTTAGCACCTTTTGAAATCATGCATGTATATTACATATGGTTTAATGTTACTTCCTTCTTCTACACAACTCAACCACATACTTAATGTACCTGCATGTCAGAATGGAAGGGGAACTAAGAGGTCATTTGGCTACATCTTTTTTCGGCTTATCAGGCTTATCAGCCAACTTTTTCACCAAACACGTAACTTTTATTTTCGCGCGCTGAACTATGTAATAAGCAGAAAAAGTAAGGTTGAAGTTACCGTAGATGACCATTTTAGCTATTTTTACATATAATTTTTTCTTTATTTTATTAATAAAATATATTTTAAAAATATTTTTTTCTTAAATAAGCAGAATCAGCCAATGCAGCCACTCCAGCCAGAACTTCATAAATTTCAGCAAAATCAGCCAAATCAGCCGATTTTCATGCTACCAAACAGGCTCTAAATTCCAAAGAGTGTGGTTTTATAACATCATATACGGTATTTATTAGACTGGAGTTAAAGTGCATTTGACTTTTGCTTTTAACAGATAAATGTAAGCTTGAGAATCATACAAACAGTCAGCTTCAAGGTGAATAAACGTATGACTGTTGGAGGGGTCAAAGCCTTACTATCTAAGAAGGAAAGGATACCTGAGTGCATGCAGGAACTGTTTTACAACGGCAATCACCTTGAGAATGACACCAAGATGGTTGATTACGGCATCTCCACTAGCTAACTCCACTCTCAATGCATATGTCAGTAATGCAGCGCCGCTGAATTTAACGATCAAAATACCACACAGGCAAAACACCGTATTAGTTCAGGCCAGAAGTCAAGATACAGTCCAGAATATCAAGGCTTTAATTGAGGCCAGAGAAAACATCCCTTCCTATAGCCACACTTTGGTTCATGCAGGAAAGCTGCTTGAAGAAGACAAGACGACGTTGGCGTTTCTTGAGATCACAGAGGGGACAACGCTTCATGTGGCTTTCATTTCCCAGGGTATGTTTCCGGTTTCAGTGAAACTGTTAAACGGAGAAATTTTAGAAGTGGAAGTGAATATGGGGTACACCATACTTGATGTGAAGGTTTTGCTTGAAAGCATAGTTCGATATCCAGTGGGGGATCTCACTTGTGAAGGGGAGAGTCTTATGGACAGTTGGACACTTTCACTTGTGAAGGGGACAGGTTTTGCTTGAAAGCATAGTTCGATATCCAGTGGGGGATCACTTGTGAAGGGGAGGTTTGTTAGATATTCATAAATTGAGTAGGGCCGTCTAATGAATTCGGAGGCCCCGGTTTCAAATGTAAAATCGAGGCCCCACATTACTATAAAAAAGTATAAAAAAAATTGAATCCAAATACATATACTTAAATTAATTGAATACTCATTAAATAATGTAATAAAAAATTTCTAAAATTGAATTAATATTTGATTTACAGCAACACAACTCATTATTCAAGCAATTTGAGTAAAGAAAACTAAAACGACCAACGAAAAAAATGGTGAATCTATATTTTTCTTCCTCACTAACTGTGTTTTACTGATCAGTATTAATATATGTAGTATAATATTACGGAGTATTATTTAATACTAATAAAATTTTGAAATTTTGGGGCCCCATAAATTTGAGGGCCCTGTTCTGGATAACCTATTGAACCCTCTGTAAAATGGTCCTGTCTGAAAGAAATGATCAGTTCCGAGATGGGAAAATCAGTTGGTATCCAACAGCTTGAGTGGAGGGGAAGAAACTTCAAAATGGGAAGGATTTAGCACGCTATGGAGTTCAGAAGGGCTCAACTATAGATTTGACTTTAGTCATTTATTGACTTCCACTTCGCGGTTGCATGTTATTTTGGAGCTAGATCTCACGTGTAGCAGCGGTTAAATCGTTGTTGATGTAATTTTAACCCTTGCAACTCGGGCCTTTTGTCCGTTTTTCTGACCGTTTAAAACTGATTTGAGTGTTTGGCTTGGCACTCTTGGTTGAAACTTTGTATCACGTATTCCTCAATTTTCTTAAAAACGAAATCTATAATAGACAAATGAAACTATTAGGGATGGGTTACCAACACCAAAATTCGGATGGGGATCCTCTGCCTTATAAAGCAGAGTGCTTTACTCAATTCAAGGGTCAAGATTAAAAATTAGGGTCTTGAGATTGGTGCAAAAATCTTGAGATTGGTGCAAAAATGGATCCACTCATTCTATGACATTGATTTTCTGATCTAAAGGTTCACAATGGTCAGGCACCCTCTTTGCCCGCTAAAGCAAGGCTGAGGAGTCGGATCCCCAAAATTCTCTGTTTTTCTAAAAAAGTTGGAATACATTATACATGTTTACTTTATCGGTTTTAAGAATTAGAAAAATAGAAACATGTTTCTATTAATTTTGAATTTGTGAAACTCATTTTAGTCGTTCCTCAAATCGGAGAAGAGGACTTTGTGATACATATACTTTAGGGTGAAATCAAGAACATAAAATCAGAACTCAACGACTCAACCTGGTTACATATCGGTCCTGTCTTAGGTCCAATTTTTTAGGTTTTCGGTTTTGGCCATTCTGATACGATCCAAACCTGGAATAATAGGTTTTCAGTCAAGGGCAGAGCCAACATTTCATTAGAGGGGGTCAGGGGGCTAGAAAGAAATACTCAAATACAAAATATCAAATGTATCGTATGAATATAGAAACACATGAAAAATAGTAATTGCCTTATATAAGAGTAAACTTTAAACATAGTTGCATAAATAGAAGTAAAATTTAAATCTTTCTTGAATAGGGCTAAACATTAATTTTCTACCGTGAATACTCTTAATCTAATTAATCAATATAATTAATTGCCTTCCTAGTCCCTTGCATAATCGGATCAGTCCGTTGTTGATGGTAAGGGTTGGGGTAGTTCGGTGGCGGCGGTTGGTAGCGGGGAGCTCTGGAAAGTTGTGGCGGCGCAAACTGATGGAAAATCCATTTTGCAAATCTCTAACGAATTCCGGGAACGACAGGAGTAGATTGGCGGCGGTGGCCAACAGGTGGTAGTGGATGGACACTTCAAAAGGCTACGAGTATATTTGTAACACCCCTAAATTTCCCGCCCAAAACATTGACATATTTAAAAGAAATACCTTATTCATTCATCAAAGAGTTGAAGAAATACAGCGGAAGTCTAAAAGGGAAATGAGTGTTACCGCCACATTCGGTCATCCCTGTAATCGATGCAGAGTCTCAGACTCCCATCTTTCTTCTTCACAAATAAGACCGGAGCGCCCCAAGGTGAGACACTTGGTTTGATGTAACCCTTCCCCAACAGTTCCTCAAGTTGTTCTTTTAACTCTTGCATCTCCTTCGGTGCCATTCGGTATGGTGCTTTTGAGATGGGTCCGGTGCCTGGCATTAGATCTATTGAAAACTCAACTTCCCTCTCTGGCGGCATCCCCGGAATTTCTTCTGGAAACACGTCCGGAAATTCATTGACCACAGGGATTTGGTCAATGGTTGGACTCTCGGACGTCAAGTCTTTGATCATGCACAAGAAAACCTCATACCCCTTCCGGGCGTATCGTTTGACTTGTTGCATGGTTGCCGGCTTCACGCCTGGCCTAGATGTGACCGTTTTGTAGGATATACGTTTCTTATTGGGTCCTCTTAAGACCACCTTTTGTTCATCACATAGGATTTTGGCTTTATATTTCCCTAGCCAGTCCATACCCAACACCACGTCGATATCCTCCAAGTCAAACTGGATTAGATCTCCGGGTAGTTCGGTATCGGATATGACTATGGAAATATTGGAGAAAACATTCCCACACGCTACAACTTTGTTGGATGCCGTTTTTACATTAAGATTAAGTTGAGAGCTAGGTTCTAACTTTGACTTTTCCACAAATTTTGAGGCTATAAAACTGTGAGAAGCACCCGAATCAAATAGTACATAAGCAGGTGTGGAGTTTACGAGGAAGGTACCTGATACCACATCGTGCGCATTTGCTTGAGCCTGGTTCATGACGTAAATCCGGCCTTGGGTGTTGTTCTGCCCTCCCTGGCCCGGATTACGGTTGGCCTCCGCTGGGCGGTTTCCAGGATTACCACGGTTGTTGTTGGCGTGATTAACCCCACCCTCGGCTTGGTTGTTTCCCTGGTTTTGTCCCTGGTTCGTGGGTTTCCTGCACTCGTATGCCCGATGCCCCAAGAGGTTACAGTTGCGACACCTCACCGCATTTCCCGCACAATCCTTCCCGGGATGGTTGTTTGGGCATAATTTGCATCTATGGTGTCGCATCTGAGTTGGCTGGTTTCTCCCCTGCCCCTGATTTTGGAAGTTTCCTCCGCCTTGATTGTTTTGCCTTTGCTCCGGGCTGTCGGTTCTGGCCTTCTTTTGTTGCTGATCCACCTCAGCATTCTTCCGATCTCTCTTATGGGCTTCTCTCTCCTTCTGGTGTACTAGATAGTACTTACCAGCCTTTCTATAAGCTTCGTTCAAATTCCGCGGCTCCGCTACTTTCACGAACTTTTGGGCCCCGAAATTAAGCCCATTAACAAACCTGCGGGTCATACTAGCCTCTGTCGACACCAGGTCCTTGGCAAAACGAGCCAGTTGGACGAATTTCGTGTGGTACTCCTGAACAGTCAGGTCACCTTGTTTAAAGTTGACAAATTCTTCATAATTTGCTTCCTTCACGTGATCTGGGTAGAAGCGATCCCGCAATGCTACTATGAAGTCCTCCCAATCAAAACCCGGTTGTCC